AATAAATAGCACAAAAGTCACTGTACATATTGATCTAAGATTTGGCATTTTTAATCACCTCTGCAGGAGCTACTGTGCCTGACAAACTTCAGCTGTGTCCAACAAACAGAAAATAATATAGCCATGTTTCATTTCTCATAATAGTCAGTGCATGGCATGAAGTCTTGGATTTCTGAACCTCAGTATTGGTTTGGTACCCGAATCAAAGGAGAAGCAGATGGCCATTTTCCAATCAGGATCTAAGTTGAATCTTGTGGTTGCTGCACACCTCTAATCTGTGTACAAGTGGTGGGGGCAGGGATTGGCTAGCCTCAGAATTGCTTTGTTTTTCTCCTTTACCTATGCTTCTAGAACACATTCCTCACACACTCTGCCTCTGCAGTCATCTTTTCCTGGATTTTTTTGTAATTTGTTTGCCCATTTGCCAATAGAATCCTTATGCTAAATTGGTAACACAGCTACCCCCTTTGCTTCCCATATATAGCCCCTTCTCCTCAGATTTCGTTTGCCTTTTTAATCTCCATTCTTTAGCAGAACTGCTAAGAAGGATTTGGGGATGTGGAGTTTTGCCATTATGCATTTCTGGCAGCTGGAACTACTTCATCTACAAACAGGTGCCATTTCCCCATTTAAAGAAGCATTGATTCTTCCAATAACATTCCGTTGAAAAAGGAAGAACTTGCATTGCCTTTTATTCCTTTTCTTTCTTCGTTCCACTCACCCAGGAGAATGTGTAATGAAAGAGTTACTGCTTGGAGACCTTTTCAAGGATCTCAACTGTCTGAGGGTTGTGTCTGTCATCCCTGGTTTTGCACTACTCCAGGTCATGCTGGCTTTCTGTTCAGCAGTGATTTTTCTGAATGGCATGTCCTGTCATGTCGATCATTTTGTCTCCCCATTTCCTGGGAGGCTTACATAAATGTCAGTTTGCAGTTTGCTTTGTGTTTTCAGCCTGAAAAATAACGTTGTGCTGCTCCCACCCTATTCCATAAAGGAAATAAAATTAAGCTCATCACCTGGAGGGTTATAGAGCAAACTTACTGCAAGGGATGAGGTGCGTGGGGAAGTAGCCCCTGAGCTGAGGACGTAAGCACCATAGATCCCCTTATTGTCACATCTCCCTGGGGTGTGAAGAGCGTCATTTTAAAACACAAAATGCGATTTCTTGTGTGACATGAACGTCAGGATGTTTCATTTCACCCAGCGGGGCCAAACATAAGGTCTTTATCAATGTGGCATTTCATTTGCTGTATAGTATTAAAAAATCCCTTTGAAACAGTAAAGGGCGTTGCAGAATAATGAAAGACTAGCCATTAGAAAAGGATTCTTTTAGACCTGACAGAATATCCACCATTGGAAAATGCGCTGCTGGATGCCAAAGAAAAGTGATATCTGTCAGCAGCAAGCTGTCAGGCTTGGATGTCACTACTTTCATTTTGGAGCGCTTGCATAAAAAAAGAGGACACGGAAATGAGATTAGCTATCTCCAGAACCTAGATGCTGTGCAAAATTTCACAATGCTTTTATTACTTCCTCTGGAAACTGGAGCCACATTTTGTCTCTGTAATGCTCTTCTATTTATCACTGTTTTGATAGCAGAGTCTTACATTACAATCTACAAAATTAAATATGAAATATTAATTTGTTACTGGAAATATGAAGTATGTGGCAGCCCGTTGAGAGGAAGAGAAATGGGTATAGAAGTGCAAGGAAGAAACAGAACAGTTTTATTCAGCAAAGAGCTTTCCATTATTAGAATGCATAGAAGGGGGAATGAAATCATAGACTGATCCTAGTCTCTTGAAAGTTGTATATTCTGCCCCCCCTGTTATAGAGTAGGAATACATCAATCATTTGATAGCATTGAAGAACATTGTGGCCAGAACTCCCTCCTTGGTATTACCATAATTATTGTTGACAAAATGCAACCCAGCTTTTCTAGCCCCTGTTAGTGTCATCAGATTTATCACTATCACTATGACATTATCTATATCCCCCCTTTTTTCCTATTGCGAGGAGCACAGGGTAACTTATATAGTCCTCCTCTTCTTCATTTTATCCACATAACAGCCCTGATACTGTTCAGTGACTGGTCCCAAGTCACCCAATGAACTTTATAGCCAAGTGGAAACTAGTTCTTGGTTCTCTTGAGGCCTAGTCCAGCACTCTAACCAATACACCAAACTGGCAGTACATTGCTGATAGTTGTTAAAATGTAATAGTAAGTTTCTGATGTTCCTCTATCAGTATAATTTTTCTCAGTTCGTGGCATAGAAACATAGAAACAGAGTGAGTCAGAAGGGGTCTCCCAGACCATCTAGTCTGACCCCTGGATCTACCCGGCTCCATTCTCGACATGCCTACCATGTGCATGTCTAGCCTATCCAGAAATGTTAACAGAATAAATGCTGAGGTTCTAAAGATGATTTCAAGTTGCCAGATACATTAGTCATGCAGATATCCAGATGAGCCTCCAGAATTCCTTGCCATTTTTGTGGAGAATATGCAATTCTTTGGAGAACCAAATGCTTCTAGTGGTCCTTTTCAATCAGTATCATATTTGATTCTTTCTTTTGAATGCATGAACAGCTTTACAGTTCTCAAGGATGCCATCTAGCTGCTTCTGTAAGATACATTGAAGTTTCAGTAGAACAGGTAGGCAAGGCTTCAGATCTGCCATATTTGAATTATTCTTTATGTCCTACAGGGCAGCAACTTTGGCAGCAGTGGCAACTTATTTATTTTTCAATTGTTGTATTTATATTCTACCTTTCCTTCAAGTTGCCCAAGACTGCATACACAAACCTCTTCCTCTCCACTTTATTCACATAACTGTGAGATTGGTTAGGATCAGAGTCAGTGATTGTCCCAGCCACCCAGTGAGAAGGCCAGGTGAGAACTAGAATCCAGATTCCCAGAATCCAGATACCCTCACCACTATACGACAATGGACCTCTTCTATCCCTCCAGATAACTTCCATCATCCCTCACTATTGTCTGTGCAATCAATGGTAGATGGAAGTTGCAGTCCAACAACAAGTTGTCTAATCCTGTTCTAATCACAGGACAGGATTGGAGCCATGTCCTAACTTTCAGTTCAGTACTTCCAGCAGCAGTATCTCAGTTTGGCAATACTGAATTGAATCAAAGAAAGGGGGAACTTGACAAAAAATAAAAGGGCTTTTGTTGCAAAGAAATCAGTTTGGAGACAAACGTTCCAGCTTTCTTCAGATCTTCACACTAAAGTGAAGGAAAAATCAATGCTTCACCAAGCCAAGTATAAAAAAGTGCCCTCATGCCCAGTAGAGGTGACAGATGGGTATTAATTTTGTCAGAAAGATAGTTTCAGAGGGACTTGATTCTCTTGCTTTATTTTTTTTTAAGTTCCTCAGCTTTCTACCACATTATTGCAAAAGAGAAAAAAGATGCTTATTTCTTTTGTGTAATGAGTGAGGGAGATATACGTGCTGTTGTTGCCTTCGGAATAAGCTTGCACACCCATCAAATTTTTACAGCAGGGATGTGGAATGTGTGGCCCTCTAGATGAAGTTGGACTACAGAATCCATCATCCTCACCTTTTATTGTGATGACTAGTGCTGATGGGAGTTGCAATCCAACAATATCTGGAGAACACATTCCCTACCTTACAGGATACAATGAGCTGAGAACAGAAACACATTCATAGCTCTTTCGCAAGGTTAAATTCAGAAATGTAGGTGTCTCTAGAATTTGGAATAGAGATTATCACATGAATGCATTCCTTATTCAGCTTCAGCACCTAAAACATAGTTCTTAAGGGAAATGAAGAACTCTGTAGGGCTGTGGTCTCCAGTGTGGAACCCATGGGCACTAGCATGCCCACAAACAACTCCTTTAGCATCTGCCAAACTCCCTGCCCCTCCTGATTCATTTTATTTTAGGTACTTTAATTTAATAAACCTGTTTCTTAACTGGAAGTCTAGCATGCTGCCAAATGAAGTGCTGCCCTACAGCACTACCTTTATTTTTAAGAATGCCAGAGTTTACATAAAACAACATATGGTTTGTTTTGCCACTCTTGGTTGTAGACCCTTTGGAGGTGGGTAGGGAGTGCTAAAGTGAATAGCAGAGAGCATCTTGGCTGGCTAGAAGCGATGGACACCGGGGAGAGGTGCTTCAACCATGCTTTTGTACACGAATGTGTTTTGGCAGGGTTTTGTATGGTGCATGGATATGTGTGCATATGTCTCTCTAAGCACTGCCCATTTTTCTTATGTGAAATGGTTATTTTGTTGTGCTTCTCCACCAATATGCAATTTGGCATTGGGGACTCCGACAACATCTCTGCCTTGTACTTAGTTGTTGTCTCTGGCCTTAATCTGCCTTCTGTGAAATGGGTGTTGGAACAGAAAAATTAGGGTTCAAAGATGTTTTTCACTGGAAAATGTAACTGTAAGTGTTTACAGGAATCATTTTGAAAACACTTATATATGGAGTTAAAGCTCATGTAGTCATTAGTTGCAGGGGTGATAAATTCTGTCTTGTAAGTAATATTTGGCAAGTAATTCCTTGGCTAGAATCAGTTTTGGAACTAATCATGAGAGATGTAGAAGCTACATTTGGCAGAGAAGGGTGTTCTCGCCCCCTTATCCCAGCTGGTGATGACACTGCCCTGCACTCCAGCTTAGGGCAGTACTGCACTCTAGCATAGTAGCACACCATGTGGGTCTGAAGCTTTAGCTGGATGGAATTTACATTTTTATTTTTAAAACTTTTGCTCAAGTACTCTACCTGCTTCTGTGCAGTTTGCTTTATTTAACTAGTGAGAATCACAGTATTCAGCAAATGGTCCTAGAAACTTGACTTTTGAAGAAGAATATCTATTTTTGTTTTCTGAGATATTATTAGGCTCTTGATGATTGAAAAGCCTTGCTTTAACTGTGATGAACTTTCTTTATGGTTAGTTATTATGAATACGGAGCATTCAGAATTTGTTTGTTTGTCTTTTGCCTCTCTATAGGAACTGGTCGTAGCATTGAGTCACCTCGTGGTCCAGTATGAAAGCAATTTCTGTACTGTTGCCTTGCAGTTTATGGAAGAAGAAAAGAACTATGCACTGCCCTCTCCTGCTGCTCCAGGTACTGCATCATTTTGTTTGTGAACAGAGAAAGTTTTGGATGCTAATTCCATAAGGAGGAGGAGTTTATTAGCTAGATCAAGAAACTCTTCTTGAGCATTTTTGTGAATGACATAATTTCATTAGCAGTCTAGAAAAATCTAAAAATTGCCTTTTATTGAATAAAGGAGTGTCACAGAGAATGCAGTTTCCGTGTTCTGGACTCCCTCAGAACAGGGGCCTGTCAAGAGATATGTAACACCCCAATGCGGTTTAGTGTTACATGAGCAAACCCCAGCCTTGTGTGTACCTTCCTCCCTCACTGCACTCTTATTCACTCCCTGACTTGCCTTTTTGCACAAACCCATTTGCTCATGTAATCAAAAGGATGATGGTTTGTGCTTTCCCACAAAAATAGAATTGGAAACCGCAATCAAGCATTCCAGTTCTGGTTCAGAAGGCAAGCCGAAACCATGATTTGCAATAAATAGGGAACCAGGGAAGGAATTGAAGCATGTGGAATGAAGAGCAGAGCAGATCACAACAACATGAGGGTCAGATATGAAATATGAAACCATAGTTTGGTGCTGCATAAGAATTGAACCAGTACAGTGAAGTGTACAGAGCTGCTTCTTATGCTGAATTCTGGAATGCTCAAGGACAGATGCTACTGCTATTAAGAATTGTTGTTCCTACCCTCTTCCAAACCAATTGCTGGGGAACACTACATAAAAGAGGCTCTGTATAGGTTCTGTAGCCCCAGAAGCTTAGTTCTGTGCAAAGTTCAAATAAGGACTTCACATTCTTTTCTATCCTTTCTCCTCTTCATTGTTTCTTCTTTATGCATTTGCTTCATTTGAGAAATTAAAAAGTACTACACAAATTGTTGCTGGCCTTTCATTTCATGAAATGTCATCTTAAATATTAAATATCCTGGATAATCTCTGGGGACACTGGAACCTCTACTGTCAGATCATTTAGATGGAAGTAAAATTGTCTCCCTGCAAAGAGTAATTTAATAGCTCCTTTGTCTGAAAAACTGGAATGCATTAAAAATATGAAAACCCGTTGCCCCCATACCTTTGCCTTTTTGTTGCAGAAAATAATTTTCCTTGATAGAACATACCACCTTTATTTAGTCATTCAGGATAATGCAAGGTGCTATGTAAACAAAATGTACAAGAAGCATCTTATCCCAGAACAGCGATCTCTGGTTCAGAATGTGAAGGCTACTGTATAGCATAAATTCTGCTTGGATGTATCTTGAGGAAAATTAAAAATAGGTTGAACAGTTGAAACTGCTGGCACTCATAGTATAATGCAACTTTCAGATGCATATCCACCCAAGGAAAATATCCTTAAGCTTTGTTTTACCTTTTATTATGGAAAAGGTGCCTAGCCTCACAGCTCACCCATTGCCCACTGCCACATTGAATTAAATAGGGTTTGATATGGGGCTATTACACAAGTTCCATTACAGTTAATGAAGGTTGTCACAGCACTCAGTAAATTCCTTCTCTATCTTAAATGAGTAGATGGATACATTACCTCACTTATCAAAGCTGCTTGCAGGAGGATGTCTTTTCCATGAAAGTACCTCTGCTGCCAAGTTAGGGCACTTATTCAAGGAGATGTAGGAGTTCAAGCAGGAGTTATCATAGCTTTTTTGCAATGGCAAAGCCTATTCTCACTTTGCCCAAGCAATAGGCTAAAATCAAACTGTAAAAACAGGGACCCTCCTTTCGTGTTTTCAGGAGGATGAGGGAGGAAATAAATCAGCCAACTTTTGTTCAGTATTCCAGGGTGCAGTTGTGTCTGCTATGTTATTATGGCAGTGAGTTGTTTTGTCCTTGCAATGGATGAACTGCTTCTCTTATTACTCTGTTTGTGTGAATAAATACACAAATTAAATTATCTCCACAGAGGGTGGAAGTTTGACTCCAGTGCGAGACAGTCCATGCACACCAAAACTCCGTTCTGTTAGCTCCTATGGGAATATTCGAGCAGTTACCACAGCGAGGAACTTGAACAAGTCTCTGCAGAATCTCAGCTTGAATGAAGAATGTAAGAATGCTTTTCAGGATTTTCTTTTGACTGTCTCTCTACTGCTGGTTTGTAAAGCTTAGACATATGACACTGACCAGCCGTAACAATAATGAGACAGTGCCTGTAACGGAATGGGCAGTGTCCTGAAACACTGTTGGACAGTGTTGCGACATAAGGTTAATCCTGAGAAGCACAAATGGATATGTATTCTCATAAAAGGATTTCTCCACCCCCATCCCCAATGCCACTCCAGAGAGTCAGAAATGGTCTAAAACAAGATGGGATGGAACTATCATGCTGCTGAAAAAGAGAATGTAGAACCATAATCAAACATCAGCACAGCTGACACAAGATGCTTTCATCTGACTTTTAGACATTTTTCCCTTAATCCAGCAACACACACACACACACATCTGTGCCCTAATTCTTGGCATTCTGGAGGTCTCTCAGGGGCAGCTTTTTGCATGTGTAGGTAACTGCAGTGGGGAGGAGAGGAGAGGAAAGTTCTCCTTAATGTTTTGCTTTCTGCTTGCAGTGTGCAGGATTCAGCCTTAGTGTTCACTTGTTTAAAAATCATAGTCTGTATATCACAGCTCCACAGACATTATTTCTTTGATTCTAATATCCACCTTTCTTCTAGCATCTTCTGAATATATTCTGCTGCACTGGGGGCTTTCTTGTGTGTGCAGATACAGTCAGATGAGAGTCTGAGACATGCATCTGGCAAGACTTCCAGGCTCTTCTTCACTGTACATACAGATAAAACCTTGGTCTGAACATTCCCATATTACAAATGTATGTCTTTGCCTAATTTCTGCATCGCTACATATGTTTTCAAAATGTAACCAAGGCAAAGTAACATAGGATGCAACCTTAATTTTGCCGATTACCCAGCAGCCTTTCTAGAACAGCAGACTTCCTCTTGTTAAGAGCTGGGACTCAGCTGGAATTCCAACCTCTAACATGACTTGAGTGGTGGAGCCCTGTGGTACAACAGTAGAGCCCATGTACCAAGGTGGTTCTCTTTTGCTCTTCCTTTGCTTTGACCTACAGCCAAGGCTTATAGCAGGCAAAGGAAGAGCAGAGCTATACCAGCTGCAGTTATGACTGTTCATACAGAGCTCCATTTCAGTCAAAGGTTTGCTGCTCCCTCGTGCTTTTCTGTCTGAGCATGTGTTGCTCCACCTCACTACTGTCTCTGCCTCTGGGCCAATTTTCAAAAAAAATTAATTTGAAAATGCTCAGAAAGGAGGAGACTCACCCACAGCTAATTTGTTGGTCCTTACCTTCCTGTTGAAGATCAGTGTTCTAGAAGGAATAACTTCTACACCTGATAAGGGAAACATAAGTGGCCGTAGCCTAGAAAGTTGTTTTGTACAGGGACCTGCATTTTACAAGGCTCTGTGAGCTGCTAAAGCATAAATACTTGACTCTGACACATTTGGAAGCATTGGCTTAGTCTTCCCAGGGCAGATGTTGGCCTCTTGTCATTGACTGTATGCCATAGAGCCATATGCATTGATAATTCTACAAGTGAAGTCCTTGCAAAAATGCCTCTCTCAGTTTTCCCATGCTTCTTGTTATTCAGCAGCCGGAAGCTCCATTGCATTTTCTCCAGGGAACTTGAGCACCAGCAGCAGTGCCAGCAGCACTTTGGGCAGCCCTGAGAATGAAGAGTATATCCTGTCTTTTGAGACCATTGACAAGATGAGAAGAGTCAGTTCCTACTCGTCACTGAATTCGTTGATAGGTGAGCCCTGGACATTTTAGATCCATTCTAGCTCTTGTCTGCAGGGTAGGAAAGCTTGGAAGGGTAGCTGTAATAACAAGTGGTCTTAATATGAACAAACCAGTGGTTCTGACAATTGAAAACAATAGACTTTTTTCCAGAAAGAATGAATGGGTACAGAAGAATGACACAACTGTATGAATGTGAGGATGTGTCCATTTTTGCAGAGGAATTGTGGATATTTCCTTCTTTAATAATCCAAGCAAAAGAAGCAAATGTTGATTGGAATTTAGAACTGCTTCCAGGATTCTAAGCCAGTGAACAGATGGAGGAGATTAGGTGGCCCATGCTTTTGATGTACAGCCTTGTTGATACAGACATCCTTGTTTTTTGAAATACATACCATAGAGTTATTTCGCTTTCTCACTCTCCCTTCCTATGACTTAGAAAAAAGTATATTAAACTTGTTCTAAATTGCAGCTATGTCTTAGTGATTAAGCTAGGCAAATACTTATGCTAAGATAAGCTGGGATCCATGGGATGGAAACGGAAAGTCCCGTTGTGCTCAACTCTTCCCCCACCCAGCTCCCATTAGAACTCTGAGCCCACAGGCCCCTGGCAGGGCGGGACATGGAATCACCAAATTCAAGTAAGTATTCCACTTGCATCATAGTGGGCAAAGAATGTTTGTGACTGGAAAATCAGCAGAAAAGAAAAAATCAGACAAGCTTCACTCTCATGCTTTAGACAAAGTTTGCCTGGAGCTGAAAGGGCAGGGGATTGATCAGAGCGCTCACATGAAGATTGAAAAGTTCTCCTGTGTTTGAGGTTCTTTTTTTTTTCTTTTTTTTTTTTTGGATGGGGTGGTTCTGTTTCAACTCAGTTTCCCAAACAGATTAGGGAGTTCTAGTGTGTGAGTGACAAGGGTGTGTGTGTAAAAGAAAGGAGGATTTCTTATCTCATTTCTCTGTTGTCAGACAGACTTGGGCATGTCAGGAACATGCTCCCCCAATCCTTGGGTCGGCAAGTTTGCTTCGTAAAAGTGACATTAGCAACTCAGGAGCTCCAGAGAAAATAATTGGGGCATGAGGGGGCATCACACCCACAGCCTTCTCTCCTAGAGTACTTTGTCAAATGACTGCCTCTGCAGCTGTCACTGCAAGATGAGCAGGTGGGGGGGACCTCCCACTTTCTGGCTGCAGATGGGAGAACAAGTCATAACCCAGTGCTGGAGTACCTGCTTTGCATCTAGGAAAATTCCTAGTTCAATTCCTGGTAGAAGGTTCGGGAAGGAGGTCATGTCAAAACCCCTGCCAGAGACCTCAGAAAGCAACTGTCCCTCAGAACAAGTAATGTTCAGATGTACAAATATATGCCCTGCCTTTTACAGTATTTTGTAGATTTTTGACAAAGAGTGAATTGCTTAAATGTTAAAAATGAGCAGGAAGCTTCAAAGTATATATTACTAGCACAAGTGGAGTGGGAAAAATACATTTAAAGCAAACCTGTTTGCGCCCCTTTAGTGTTTACATTTTTTGCAGCTGTTCACAACTGTACATGGCCACTCTGGTCCACACATTTTTACTGAGTCATAATTGCTTCTACAACTATGATTGTAGGACTTCCAAATGTGATGTTGACAAATTGCCACATCAAACCTAGCTATGTTGGCTTCATTGTGAACAGAAAGACATTTATCTGCTTGTTCTGGGTCCTGCTGTCTGATACTCCTGAAAATGGACATACTTTTTGCAGCAACTTAAACTTTTAACTATGAATACACTCCTGAAGTTCAACCCTACAAAATACCTCTCTGCTTCTGTTTCTCCTTCTGTGAAGTCTATTTTCCCATTGCCGCCTGCTGTTGCAAAGAGGGGCATATCAGATTATTCAGGAGTTTGGGAATGAGTGAGAGCAACTTAAAATACAAAAGCAGTTTCTCCAGTACCTTTCTCATCCATATTCAGTCAGGAACAGCTCGTATCTAGCTGTAAACGATATAGCTTATAGAAGTGTTTAAAATTCATAACTTACACAGAATTCCATTACTTCCAGCAGTTACCTCTTTAAGGGCAAGGGCTTTCTTCCTCCTCATGATTTCTCCTCTCCTTGTTCCCAACTCCCTTTTTCTTGTAGCCTTCTTTCTGCTGCATCTCAAAGGAAATAGTTCTAAGAACTTGAACCTGCTCCATATGCTTGTGCTTGAGTTGACCGGCAAGACTGGTTATATAAACTATCACAATCTGCCAACTACA